GTTTGGAGTTTGTTATGGAAAAGATAAGCTGGTCAAATAAAACCAGAATTAATTCTTCACATTTGTTGCCTCCCATTGACAATGAGGAAAGGAAAAACAATCCTGTCAGTTGTTTGAAAGAATGAACCATTTCATATCAAACATCATTAGAGCAAATAGTTTCAATGGAGTATCCTCAGACTTTAAGGGATAATATCCACTAACAAAAAAAAAGTAAACGAGAGAGAGAGAGAGAGAGAAAGAGAAAGAGAAAGAGAGAGAGAGAAAGAGAGAGACAGAGAGAGTGTGCATAGTGTCAGCACATAAAACAGTTGCTTGCTGCAGCATCAACCCCATCTCTCCCTATAAACTCTTGCTACAGCAGTTGCTTTCAAGGAACTTTCTCTTTTAAAAAAACAATTATTCCAACTAGGAATCACATAGGACACTGCCAAGCACTTCACATAATGCCATCTGAAGTACCTCAGCTGAATGTCACATGAACAGAGGAATGAGCTCTTGATGGTTGGGGTTCATGGTCAAGATGACATAAAATGTGAAGATAGAATACTATAATTGAATTGTTATTTTTATGAGACAAAACATAGCTTCATAAGATGTAGACTCATTAAAAATATGTGTTAGTGGTTACCTTTAACTTGTCTCTGAAGAGTTGAATGGGTTGCTGTCTACAATATATCTGAAAAATGAACCCTAGATTTCCTTTAGTTTTATATTCTAGATGAAGATGAATTGTTTTTACATTTACTTGTATTGTGGAAGCTTCAGTCATTTTGTCATTTTTCTTGTTTCAGTAGCAATATAGTGTGAATCTTTTATTTTACTGTAAATTTTGGGGATAATGTTCTGATTCAAAATTATCCTTATTTCAATTTGTTATTCTAACAAGACCTTTTCTTAGAGTTTACCATGCTTTTACCATTATTAGTATAGCCAGTGTATAGAAGAAAAAAAGGGGGAGCTGATTAATCCGTTGTTTAGTCTGATAACACTTTTTTATATCACTTTCTCTGGCTTTTTCAGCTACCATGACTGCGCTGGACAACATGGGAGAGGGCTCGACGCAAGGGAGCGGCAAGTCATCGCGTCTGTCGCTCCGGCAAGGTCGCAAGCGAGCCCTCAACTCAGACATCTCTCCGGCTCCAGAGCCCAGAACCAGCCATCGTTTTCGCACCTCCAGTTCAAGTGACACTGACGACAGAAATAAAGTGAGTATGAATGACATTACAGGAGAGACTACATGGTGGTAGCTTCATATTGTTCCTGTTCATAATGATATATTTGTTAGTAGGACCTGAGGTGAATGCATTTTCTTTTAAAAAATATATATATATTTTTTTATTATGGTAGCATACCTTTTTGTTGGGACCCCTCTGTCTGATCCAAGGCTCTTTCTCTCTCTCTTTTTCCCTGCAGACACCACCAATGCTGCGCAAAATGAGCCTGGGGAGGAATGCAACAAACAGCAGCAGTCGGCGTACAAGTGGAGGCTCCTCTCAGGCCAGTGGCAGCCTGGGGGCAAGCACAGGGGAATTGGGGAATGGCGGAGGACGGGTCACAGGAGTTTGTCCTCTGGCCAACCTTGGCAACACCTGCTTCCTCAACTCTGTCTTGTATGCCCTGAGGTTCCTCCCAGGCTTCACCCACGACCTGCACCATCTTCACATGCACCTCCAGGCAGCAGGGTGGGTCTTCTCGTAGGGCCAAGGGCTTCTGAGTCAGAGCTTGCTTTTATAGAAAGATAACAGTAGTAGCACAGCCTGTTTTCTCTTTTAGTATGTGAAGCTGTGGTAACAACATATGTGACTTTGTATCATACATTTTTATGCTAACTTTTATATTTTCACTATTCATGATCTCTGTATTTTCTTGTTTATCTGCAGCAATCAGAGTGATGCCAACCTGGATCAGCGCATTCAGTTCCTGTCAGAGTTACATCGTGTCTTCGTGAGTCTTGGCCAGGAGGAGCGAGGACTGTCCGAGAGCAAACGGATTCCAGCCTTCCAGCCCTACGATTTTTTAGAAGCCCTCAGGTAAAACAAGATTGACATCCAACATAGGGACTTTAATCCAGGAAAAATGTAGCATAATTTTGTTATCCTTTGAAAGAAGTTGATTGATACTATTAGAATTCCATCCTACAACAAGGAGAATGGAACATGCCACATTATTCCTCAGTGATCCACAGAGTATGCTTGTGGAAGAAAGACACCTGTTTTCCCTTCATACCAGCAGGAAGATATTTAGAGATTATTTTAGCATATAGTCTTTTGTGTATAAGCAATTTTACAGTTTTTTTCCCAACTTTTGCCTTTGTAAAATATCCTTTTTTTTTATATATCCCTGGTAATAGTCAGTGCAACCTTATTTTCAGAATTTGAATCTCGACCCCCAAAAAAGATAATAGAAGGAAAGGAAAATATGTTTTAAATAAATCATAAATGTTACCCTCTGCTGCCATTGTACATGTCATGATGCAGCAGAGAGTGTGTGGTTGCAGTCAGTGTTGGAATGATTAATTTCTCATTCTGTCCTAATCAGCCTCCCCCTGCAACATGAGGCACTGAATCTGACACATTTTCATTTAAGACATGCTGATGAAATATGAAAACATTCTCATACTTGACCTGTTAAAGTATCATCTTCTTATATGAGAATTTATATAATCAGTTTATATCTGTTCTCACACTTGACCTGTTAAAGTATCATCTTCTTATATGAGAATTTATATAATCAGTTTATATCTGTTCTCACACTTGACCTGTTAAAGTATCATCTTCTTATATGAGAATTTATATAATCAGTTTATATCTGTTCCATTGGACTGACACTCCCACCCTTGTGTCACCCCAGAGTGGTAAACCCAATGTTTGAGGGGAACCGGCAACAGGACGCCCACGAGCTGCTTCACTGTCTCCTGGATCAGCTGTGCCACCTGCCTCAGGACTTGCGTCAGGGCAAGCCTAATGGGGTGTTAGGGCCAGAGGCATCCAAGATGGAGCAGGAAGAGGAGCCAGGGTTCCCAGAGCCGAAGAGATTACGCCGCAGGTCGGAAAGGATTCAGGCGATAGAGGAGGACTCCAGCAAGGTGAGTGGAGGCAGAGGGATGTAGAGACTCTGTGGAGGCTCATGTCTTATAGTGTAAAAGGATTGTGAATGTTTTTCATTTTTATCAAGATTATTGTGAATGTTTTTCATTTTTATCAAGATTATTGTGAATGTTTTTCATTTTTATCAAGATTATTGTGAATGTTTTTCATTTTTATCAAGATTATTGTGAATGTTTTTCATTTTTATCAAGATTATTGTGAATGTTTTTCATTTTTATCAAGATTATTGTGAATGTTTTTCATTTTTATCAAGATTATTGTGAATGTTTTTCATTTTTATCAAGATTATTGTGAATGTTTTTCATTTTATCTCAATATTGTGAATGTTTTTCATTTTTATCAAGATTATTGTGAATGTTTTTCATTTTTATCAAGATTATTGTGAATGTTTTTCATTTTTATCAAGATTATTGTGAATGTTTTTCATTTTTATCAAGATTATTGTGAATGTTTTTCATTTTTATCAAGATTATTTTACATTGTTTTATGTATGCCTTTATTTTTGACTCTCATCTGTATAGTAAAAAAATAAATAAACAGGTAATAATTTGAAGATATACACAGTGAGGAAACAAAAAAACTGACCCTTTGAAAGCATTCAGTCTTATTTGAAACAGTTATTCTGTTCCTCTCCACAGGCTGTTGATGTTGTGGGCTCAAAATTTGTAGGGCGAATGTGCCTTGAAACATGCTGCTCCGAGTGCGAGCAGGTGACAGGACGGGAAGAGAATTTCCTTGAGGTCTGTGTTCCTGTCAAGACCAAGGCTGACTTTGATGGTAAGCCTTAACAGCGTACTTTCACTTTAGGATATAATGATGTTCTTTTCAAGCCATTATTATTTCTTGTTTGGTTTGCAGTTGTCCTCTCACTCTTTTCTCTTACTGTTCTCTTTAGTTGTCAGAAAGCTTGTACAGTATGTGTTTATTTGTTGTTGTTTTCTTCCCTCATTACTCAGAGGTGTAAGAGTACTTATACTATAAGATATGCTTACAGATTGTAGGTCCAAACATATTACATATATCAATTGTCTTACACAGAGGACGAGAACGTGAGTGAACCTCAGGTGTTTATGTCAGCACTGTGCGAGGAGGAATGTCTGCGCGACAACAACAAGTACTGGTGTGACCACTGTTTCCACCACAATGAGGCGCGTCGCTCGGTCCACTACTCCCAGTTGCCACACCACCTTGTCATCCATGTTAAGCGCTTTAGCTCCTACCACAGGTGAGGAGGGACAGGGATATTCAAGAAAGCTTGCATGTAGACTCCTTATTATTTTCAGTGCACTGATCTTGAAATATTTTAAATCTTAGGTTACCTTTGTCTATCCTGGGAGGATTCTTAGGTGTCTTGGAATACCATGGAATGAGAATGACCTAACATGTTTGCTATAGAAATATTCATGAAAAACATTTTTTTTTTTTTTTTTCTTCTTTAGATTAAGGACTTTTACATGCATTTCCGTTCTATCTAAGTACCGCACAAAAGATTTTAGAATTGTAAAACTCATCGATTTGAGAACTTTGAAAACTAAAGTTTCCTCTCAGTTCTTATAGGTGATGACACCTACAAAGTAGTTGATTTATTCATCCCTTGTAGATATTCTCATTCATCTTTGAAAAATTCGGTTTTTAACCTGAAACAGTTCTTAGATACTATAAACTCTAGTGGAGATTTAGTGCATGTGGATGTAGTGATACTCTTTTCAGGGAAATTGCTACTTTTTATAAGAGCAGAAGAAAGTAATTGCCTAAAATATTAACCTGTTGACTGAAGTAAGAATCTGTTTAGAAGAAAAATCTATTTATATGCTAGATATCCAAAGAGTTGAATATGACAGTGTAGGAGAGACCAAAATTTCTAATTGATTATCACAACTACTAGGATGGATTGCTAGAAGATATGAAGGACGCCAGAACTGCTTCTATGATTCCTCTCTCCCTTCAGGAATATGTTTACTGCCAAGTGCAGTGAGGCCATGCCAGCACCCTTAGAGCTGTCATGCTTCTGCCGGGGATGCCTCACGGAGCAGATCAAAAAGCAGGCTCTGATGGAGCTGGCCAGGGACGACAAAGGATCCAAACCCAGTTCCAGTAGCAAGCTCAGTTCAGGCCACCTGCCATACCACTTGACGGCAGTTGTCTGCCACCTGGGTGCCACCCTCTCCTCAGGTCAGATCTATGATCTTCTATTTCTTCCACCAAGATGTTACCAGTCCTTTACAATGATATATTATGGATTATTCTCAGCAAAGTCTCAGTACACAGGGAATATAAAGGTCTTACTTGAAATTTAAAAGTTTCATCTTCTTCCTCCAGGACACTACTTGTCTTTTGTGCGTCTGAGTGCACTAGACTCATCAAGATGCCCAGAGCAGCAGGTTGCACCACCATCTCAGCCAGTTTTTTCACAGCCAGTAAGCAGCACCAAAGTGGAGTGTCAGTGGATCAAGTGTTGTGGTCTGCAGCTCGATCACATACGTCCACTGTCAGGACTGAATGGCCACATGGGTATGTTAAGGACATGGGTCTTTCTTCTCAAGGAAATGACATTTGGCTTTTTTTTCTTCTTCATTTTTAAAGCTTACTTTGATGTAGAATTGATTTGTTGGCATTAATGTATAAAAAAGAAACATAGAGCATGCAAAGACAATGTCAGTGCAATTGAATTATTCAATTTTTCCATTGGTCATTATTGCAGACATAGAGGAGGATGGTAAAGGCAGTGAGAGGGAGAGTCTATGGCTTGAGTGTGATGATGAGAAGATCAAACTTGTAAGCGCAGCAGAAGTGAGTGACATGATGCGGACCACTATCATCACCCCGTACCTTCTCTTCTACTCACGTCTCTGATCCCCTGACAGACGCTAGGTTGCATTGCATCCAGGGTCTCATCTCATCATCTCAAGCTCTTCCTTCTGGGATGCCCAAATGCGCTTGGGTGATGCGTAATTATGTGTCTCTTAGGGAATTTTAGCGTGTGACAGTAAGAGATGTGGTCACAAAGATGATGCAGTATGAAATAGTGAAAAAATGACTGCCAATATTTCCCATGTCTTTCTGAAGCTCAACCTCAGAGGTGAGGATAGTGCCTGCATTCCCCAAGAGAGGGAATGAAAAAGAAAGTGATAGACAGCCACCAAGCACCCACTCACTACCTCCAACATCAGGTTCTGCTCATAGGAAGACCTAAACAACGCTATTCTCTCAAGGGTACCGGTGCCTACGCCAAACTTTCACAGTGATAGAGATTGTCCAACCTAGTGGGAGGGCAGGGCAAGCCTCCAAAGGAAAGGCAGCATACACACTTGTCAATAAGTGAGAGAGTAGAGGTCAGAAGAGGTCACAGGTAGAGGACACTGCTCACAGACACGGGCAGGACTCATTCAGGTTTGGTTCTCCTTTTTGGTAGAGGATTTTTATTTTTTGGAACAAATAGAACGAAAATGTTTCTTCTCCTTCTTTTTCTCTTTTATTTATCCAGTGGTGAAGCCAGTGAATGGAAGCAATTTGGGGAAAGAGGAATTTTTCATTTGATGTCACAAGAAAATATATATATGTGAAAATTACAAGATAAAAGTTTAGATAGAACCTTATTAGGTTGAAGGAAAAGGAGAATTTATGCTTTTCTGTTATTCTAAAACAAGTAATGAATTTTTAAAAGTAATGACTTCATATCAGTGGGATGTAGTCATCCTTTCTTTCAGTTCATGGTTATAAGGGGCCTATAGAGAGAGAAAATGTTAAAATCACATTTCTTTAAAAAATATATCCAAAAAATAAAAAAATAAAAAAAAGTTATATATATATATGTAGCACAGCCAGAAAATAGATCACTTTAGCCCAAAAAAAATTTGTGTCTTTACAACACAAAGTCCCTGTACTTGTTGGGGTGGGAGGAGGGGCAGGCTAGATACTGGAAGTGCAAGTCGAGCAATGCTTAGCACAAACATTACCCTGTTGTTTACTGTAGTGTTCTCTTGTAAATACAAAGTTTCTTAATATATTTTTATATTAGATTTTTTGTCATACTGAGATGAACTAGTGATCACTGGTCATGATTACTAGGTGGCTTTTCACAAAAAGAACTTTTTTTTTTTGTCTTTTTTGTCTTTTTTTTTGTCTTTTTTTTAAAGAGAAGGGAGGAAAGACCTACAAATGTTATTATGAAATGGTTGGAATACTCCCACATCATGCCATGAGCATATTTGTGGTTTGGAAACTACTCTTTTATAGACAGGCTTTACTGTAGAGTTTTGTTCTACCACATGGACTTTATGGGAACACTCCCAGTCCCATTGTGGAAATCTTCAGAAATGAATTTTGGCAGCCAAGTTGCTGCTAGAATAACTTCACCTTTTTATACCAGTGGAAAACATATTCCCATGTTGTACCCCAGTGACATGAATTTCAACGTGATGCATATATGTATTGAAAATGCACTTTTATCTGTTGTGCTGTTTCTAAAATTGTTACATCAGGTGTATTGCATCTTGTCATTGTTATATCACATTAGTGCACCCTTAACAATTGTTTCTATAGCCCTGAAGGTCACATCATCTAAACAGGTGATCTACCATATTAGCCTTTAATGGGTAGCCAGCTGCATATGCAGTGGTTTTTCATCTTTTGTCTCTAAATCGTCCAGCCCAAGAAAATGCTGTTTGTAGAGACCCTGCTTTTTTCAATGGCATAAAAAGGTTTTCCTGTTAAGGAACTGCAGAACCTTTGTCTCATGGACACTGTAACAACATTGTTACTGGCAGTTGCAAGAGGCAAGGTTCAAAGCGACTTACATTCCGAAACAACTTGCTTGTACCGTAGGATCAATCTCTGAAACACGTCCTGAATGAAACACAGACTCCTCTTTCAATGTGATTATGCAACTGTTTTTTTTTATGGATCAATATAAAGCTTTGGCTAAGATAATCAGTTACAGTTTTGATACAAGACTAGAAATAGATGGAAGTTTGGCTTGATTATGGAGATGTTCATCTTGTATATTCATTAGCTACTATTACTACAGTGCAGTGTTGAATAGCATAATTTATGGGGAAAAAACATTCATCTAGGAGGGATAGAATTCACTAAACTAGAGCAAAATTCTAAAACCTTTGTTGCAACACACATTGAAAATTCATTTCCCCACTCCTAAAAGCTGACTTGCTGCAGGACAACAACAGTAAAGCACTCAAGGAACAAGTTTTAAAAATCTCTTGTTTTTAAGAAAAATGAGAAAGAAAGAGTTTTGAAAAGCTTTCCTTTAAAGTAAATTTCAGAGAAGAGGAAGACATTGTGGAGGATTCTTTTCACATTATTATTGGCCTTTTTATTGTCTTACTTTTTGGTAACTTTGTAAACTGTGATGTGAACTATCATCTTTTGAGTAATTATTCATTGCAATGCAGTTGCCTTAGGCTCTGCAATAAATGTTCCTTTACATGGGACATTAAGCAAGTTGCAAATCATGGCTCTTCCACTTGTTCATTTGCAGGTAAATATTGATATTGGAGAAAAATAGAAATTTTTATTTCTAAAGTGACAAGGTATTCATTTTTTTTTCCCGTCTTTTCCATATTTATGTTGCAATGATGAAGGCACAGATCTGGTGTTAAGTGTTGCAGAAACTTCAACTAGGCTCCAGAATTACAGTTGTATAAGTGTTGCATTGTACAATTAACAAAAGGAAAGTCACACATAATATGTTATTACTGTAGAGCCAGTGATTTCAGAGAAGGGGTAGCCTCAGGGAGTTGGCTATGTGATGTAAGAGATAAAAAAAATAAAAATAAAAAAAAAATAAAAAAAAATAAAAAAGTCAGTTCAACAAGAATGTGGATATTGCTTCAGGCTACTTTCAGCATCAAAATTTTGCCACCAGTAATCTGTGGGAAATCATTGTCTTCCAGGTTTAGGTTACCGTAGTTTAAGTCCGTCTTATTTTTGCACTGGCTATTTTTCTTAGCAGTAGTTGAATTTTAGCCAGTGCAAGGTATATAATTAGCTTCATATTTATGGACAGATTGTAGCTTGAGGACCTTATATTATTTTCAAGTTCATCATTGGGATCTTCTGCTATAATGGTATTTATTTAGCATATGTGCACTTTCTTCATAGACATCTGCTTACATGTTCTACATTATTTTATTGTAGGGATTGTGGAGATATTGTACATAGATTTAAACAACAAAAAAAGCAAAAAGATACTGGCTGTAGACCAACAGCGTTTTGATAACAAAAGTTAACATTACCTTAAATGCCAGTTTGTAACTTGGGTTAACAGTTATCTAACAGCAGTGGATGGCTGTCTTGCACACCACAGTATTGGTCATGACTGTTACAGTTCATACTTGCCAAGCAGTACACCATCAGAGCCAAAGCTTCACACCAGGGACTGCTGAGAAGTGGTTGGTCGTGCTTCACAGCTAGTGTCTTAGTTGCTGTTGGGACTTGCCTTCTCTTATTACACACCCATTTCCAGTTCCCCATTTATGTATCCCTGCATTCCACACCTGCCATGCAGCATTTGTCTCATCACATTATCCAGTTCATATTTGTGAAGGTTTGTTATCCGTCCTGAAGTGATTATGTTATCATTATTATAATTGTTATTATTCCATGTCTAAATGTGTACAAGTTAACTTTCAGCAAACTTTAGCCACAGGTCTTCAGAGTGTTTTATTAATATTGCTTTTGAGTGAAAGAATTCACTGCTTAAAAATTCTGTATCAAGTAAATGTTTCTACTTCAATTGGCTTGAACTTTTCATTCTGTTCTTTGTTCTCTGGAAGATGTATGAAACTATCCTCATTCCTTATACCTTTGTCATTTGATGATAATTCCAAGGCAAAATTGTGTACAATGTTGGTAAGCATTTTCAAGTCGGATTCAAATACAATTTAATTAAATGAAAAGCCACAGTAATGTACATAGCAGATACATGTAGGTGAACATGGCATTTACAGGTAGGATTTCCAAATGAAATACAAAATTAAAAAGGTTGGTTGTGTTACTGAGCTATTCTAATTCTGCAATAGTAGACCAAATGTTTTGAGTATCCTGTCTTGTTTTTTTTCTTTTTGTACCTCTGAACAAAATTTACTAAATGACTTTTTTTTTTTTTTCTTTCTTTTTCTTTTTTCAATTGCTTGAACAAGTCAGGAAGCAGATGACCAAGGCAGAGCAGGAACCTATTTGCTACATGCTTCTCTCACACCATGTCTCTTGATTGTGATGGAGTACCTGCATATTTGCTCATTGTAGTTCTTTGAATAACGTACCTGACCCACAAGCACCTGAGGACCATTTTTTTTTTTTTTTTTTTTTTTTTTTTTTTTTTGAGTTCTATTTCTCTGAGGATTCCTTTTCTTCTCTTTTATCTTCATCCTCTCTTGTACATAGTATAATAAAGTGTGTCAACCTGGGGGAAGATTTTTGTTTACTTTCAAGCATACACATGACACTACTTCCGAGATCTTTTGTTTGTTAGGGGTCAGTTCGTATCATCCTGTATTGGTGTTATTTGTACTAAGATTACAAACAGAAGTGCCTTGCAACAAATCCATTTCATTTCTTTTGGCTGGTTATCCTCTTTCTACCATTCTACTTATTTAAATTGGTAATACTAGACAATCAGGCAACCAGCATATTTCCAACTCGTTATAAGTATATAAAAAATTATAGATACTGATATATACATATTCAGTGTACTACTTCAGCCTCCATTTTCCTTGTACAATGTATACCACAAAACCCATCATAAAGAGACTGAGTAAGACTGTTAGATTTAGGAAAGAATAAAAATAAAACAAAACATCTTAAACATCAAATAATTTATTCTATCCCGTAAGCCAACAGAAAATTGTATCCTAGAACAAAAAAAAAAATTGTTGGTACTATAGCATTAAGGTTTACATAAAAACTCTACAGTATTTACAGCAAATGATGCTCCTTCCCTCACGACCTGCGTTATAAATTCTTGACTTGATACAGTGGAGCTATCTGCATAGAGTACCATGTGAAGTTGCTGCAAGAACATATCCTATATATATATATAGTGGATATTATATTAGTGCTTTCACATTTAGCAACATCAGGATGGTACAGTGTCGAAAACTGCCTTTTTTTTATCTTCGGCAAACACCGTTATGTACACAAGATCAAACACAATCTCACTCGGTAACACTTCACTTTTTTTCATCATTACAAGTTTAAAATACCTGTAAACAGAGAGCTGAGGGGGTGATATACCAGTAAACCGCATAAAATCCCTCGCACAAAGAAATGAAACATAGACCCCCACTGAATATGTGTACCTACAGAAAATAGAGGCTAAATACATCACAAACCTAACATAAAGCAGCCCCCATGCCCTTGGATGGTGGCAGAACTGGGTAAAAAGTTCATGAGCAGGAAATGTGAAACATTCCTGTACACGGGCGAGCCCACGTGTAGCAGGAGGCACTAAACTGTCCTCGGGTATGGAAGAGGGTTAATATATTGTCCACGTGGTAGCAAATTCTTCCTACAACACAACCAAGAGGTGATACTTCTACTTGTAAAATCTGCAATTGAAGGAACACTTTTGCCCCTACATCCTGGCGATGCAAACTTCTCCCTAACTGATGTGATTATAAGAACCCTAAATAGTGCCCAGAGAATGGCACTGGATGTGCCACTACAGAAGATACTAAAGCCAAGAAAAAATACATGGATGAAGAAAAAAAAAAATGCAATGTATCTCAAGAAATATATAAAATTGGTATACTAACTTCTTCCATACAGAAGGTGTCCTACAGATATTTTCAAATTATCATTTTGATATTTATAGACGGCTTGTAATAGCATTACATGATATATACGTCATGCAAGCATTCTAATATACAATATATACTGGAGTGATTGCTTGCCACAGCCCCAAAAGGTATTGGTATATGGAGTGCTTAGTGTGGTCACTTAAGACTCACCAATATACGTTACAAAAATTAATCCGTCATTTTAACTTTAATACTTCTATGTAAAAAAGTAAACAGAAGGAATTATAATGGTAATTTAAGTGTTAATGACCAACAGATCAGTTATTATGTTTTATCATAAAAAAGGGGTGATAATAAAAGAGAACTTAATTTTGCTCATCTGAAAGACTAAGTGGGTTAAACTATTAGTTACATGTTGACAATGCCAATGATTTACTTAAAACCCCCCAAACATTTACTTAGTGCAGTGAGAACAATTCTTTAACTTGCAAAAAAAAATGCTTGTAATTTGAACATATTTCCCTGAAACAGTGGACCATGTACTGCCTTTATAGACATTTTTGAGAAGTGTAAAACCTGCTATTTGCAGCAACTCTGTTGCAATACAAGTAGATTACTGTAGATGCAACGTCTCTATGATACCTGATAAGTCAGTCAAGTTACCCTCAATTACTGGCAACCATTTTCATTCAGTAAATACTATATTCATAAAAAGCTATTTGATGATGACAAAAATGTAGCAAGAAACAAAGATTAATTTAATTACATTTTATTTGTTAAATTCCGGGACAATTCAACAATTAGGGTTGAGAAGTAAAACTGTCTGTAGACAATCAGGCTATACATTTTTTTTTTCTTTTTTCTTTTTTACTAAGATGGGTAACTCAAACAATATATATAGACATCATTTTCCTTGCTTTGTTTTCAATATGCTTCTACCTAACATGCCCTGGAGAGTACAGAGCACTCTATAAATGCTAGACGCCAGGCCACCTCCTTCAGCAGATCACAGAAAGAGCATAATAAGTGGCAGAGGTGAGGTCGTGATCTGTGGCGCAGGATAGCTAAAATATCACACTGCATTGCCGGGGGACAGCTGGTACAGGGAGAGCAACACCCAGTCAATGCACACCTTTTTAGAGATCCCTCTGCACAGACAAGAAGAACTTAATTTTGCTCATCTGAAAGACTAAGTGGGTTAAACTATTAGTTACATGTTGACAATGCCAATGATTTACTTAAAACCCCCCAAACATTTACTTAGTGCAGTGAGAACAATTCTTTAACTTGCAAAAAAAAATGCTTGTAATTTGAACATATTTCCCTGAAACAGTGGACCATGTACTGCCTTTATAGACATTTTTGAGAAGTGTAAAACCTGCTATTTGCAGCAACTCTGTTGCAATACAAGTAGATTACTGTAGATGCAACGTCTCTATGATACCTGATAAGTCAGTCAAGTTACCCTCAATTACTGGCAACCATTTTCATTCAGTAAATACTATATTCATAAAAAGCTATTTGATGATGACAAAAATGTAGCAAGAAACAAAGATTAATTTAATTACATTTTATTTGTTAAATTCCGGGACAATTCAACAATTAGGGTTGAGAAGTAAAACTGTCTGTAGACAATCAGGCTATACATTTTTTTTTCTTTTTTCTTTTTTACTAAGATGGGTAACTCAAACAATATATATAGACATCATTTTCCTTGCTTTGTTTTCAATATGCTTCTACCTAACATGCCCTGGAGAGTACAGAGCACTCTATAAATGCTAGACGCCAGGCCACCTCCTTCAGCAGATCACAGAAAGAGCATAATAAGTGGCAGAGGTGAGGTCGTGATCTGTGGCGCAGGATAGCTAAAATATCACACTGCATTGCCGGGGGACAGCTGGTACAGGGAGAGCAACACCCAGTCAATGCACACCTTTTTAGAGATCCCTCTGCACAGACAAGAAGAAGAAAAAAAAAAAGAAAAAATTATGGTATATTACTTTAAAAAAAGGACATCGATGACAGGAAAATGTGTGGATTACCTGCATCGATCTGCTGTGACTGACAGACGACAGATCAATCTTGGTCCAATGCCCTAAAATCCTACAGAGTTGGATCTCTAACTTTTTTCTCCCCTAATGAAGACATGAAAGACTTAAAGAGGGGGGGAAGGGCAGAAGGAAATGGAGAAATGAGTTAAAAAAAAATAATAATAAAAAAATTGGTAAAATGAAAAAAAATATTTAAAAAAAAATGCTCAGACATTAAGCAGCAAGGAGAAGCCACTTGGCTACAATGTACAAATCTCAAAGCTTGACACTGGAACATTTTTTTATGTATTTTCTTTTTTTTTTTTCTTTTGAAGAATAAGCAAACACCCGGGTGCGTCCTTGGGTCGCAGTGAGTATCCTTATCTTGGACTTAGTATAGACGAGAATCGCATTCTTGTTAACTCACTTTCCAGTTCACAACACAAAGACAGATATATTGTTAAGTATTTCCTAATGCTTGACATTTGCTGGTCTGATCACATGTGAATCACTTTCTAGAATGTATATCATGATATGGCGACTATGAACTTATCCTAAATTCAAGTAAAATAATAATAATAATAATAACAGTAATGATTATGATAATAACAATAATCATCCAAATAACCAGAAAGTAGGCAATCATCACAACAACATTTATAATTAGCAATGATGATGATGGTGATAAGTACTATAATCTCTTAGTACTCCTAAATACCATCAGTCATTCCATTATTATTACAGCTATCATTGTGACAATGGAAATGTACAACAGTCTAAATTGAGATGGATGGCTCTAATACCTGTGTGATAAAAATACAATCTAAACAGAAAGGGGCATGTTGAAGCAGGAGGGCTGGACTGTGAGGTGCCAAGCCCACACTCATAGAAGGGCTAAATGAGCAAGGATGACATGCAATACGAGTGATCCAGTCAGCAAAATGCAAGCCTTAGCATGAGTGTATCGCGAGGCTCAGATTATGGTTATCATTTTCTCTTCGAGAGCTACGGCAGGTTGGGCCTAGCACAGCTGATATTTACAGTGTGATCGGCAAAATAACGATTCCTCTTGCAATGCTGCAGCCTCCAGTTTTACGCGAGGTAACTGTAGGTGTCCTTCTGGCCATCTATTCTCTCTAAGTACTCCTTCTCAATCAGGATGTCAATACAGCGCTGAAAAAGATTTGGCATTACAATCTTGATATTGAACCATTTTCATGATAGTAAATCACACTAAAATATCACTCAATTACCCCTCAACTCATCATTGAAGACCCATACATCCCTGGGAAAAGCCTCACCTTTATAGTTGGGACCCGAGGCTTGAACCTGGGAGTCAGCTGATTCAGGACTTCCATGAGAAGCTGTTGATGTTTACATACTTTCCTCATCTTCATGATGCGCACAATGGCAGCCTGGATGAGGAGCTTGCGGTCCTCCTCTATGTGTTTATGGGTCAGTTCTTGTTCAATCTGTGAAGGGAGGACCATACATGCTTTAGGAGGAATGGAAGAGAGATAAGAAATGAAATATATAGGGAACAGATTTGGGTACAGGTATAACTTAATTAATAGAAAAAGTAAAAATAAAAGTGGGAGGAGGAGAGAATAAAGACTCATCTTCCAATAAAAAATACCACAAGGTTTCTCAACCACAAACCTTCATTTCTGTCTTCATTGGTACATTGATGTTTACTCTGAGTTTCTTATTCTTATATCCCAGGAACAGGTTGACTCTGGAGTCAGGGGAGATGTCCTCCTCATCCTCAGAGATGAGGAGCTTGCACTTGAGAAGGATCTGGACAACCTGCTGAAGGATCTCTAAGGATATGCCTGTCATCTCCTGCCAAGGTAGTTTTTCATTAATATTGGTACTAAAAGGTATTAAAGGTATTAAAACACCTTAAATACATAAAGTTCATTTTTGCAATAAGGAATCCATATTCTAAAATGGCTAGAAACAAATACACTTGCTTTTCCTGAGATGATAATATACTCTGTACAAGTGCAAAAATATTTTTATATAAAAATAGATACTTGCATTTTTTTCATCATTAACATGTACCCATTAGCAGTATCAATTTTCATACTCTAGCCAATTGGTAATATACAGCCAGTGGACTTAACCCGTATCTGCCAGGCCACACCTATAGCCATCATAAAACCAACTAATCACTCATCACAGTTATAGGTGCCACAACATGCTAGAGTGAGCCGAGCAGGTTTCGCTAAATGTAGTGGACTCCTGGGCCAAACGGCAGCACGATTGCCAGAAATCACCGGAGTCAGTGACAAGATTTCTGATACCATCATTGATGGGTCAAGACCATTTTAACCCCTGAATACATGTTCTTTACTGGATTTTCCCCACAAACATAATTGTATCAAATATAAATGATAAAACTTTCTTAACCCCTTCCCGACGGGTGAAAACAAACCGCTCGAAAAGTGGCGTGCGGCTGTACACCACAGCGGCGCGCCAAAGCGCAGCGAGCCACTGATTCGGGCTGATGTAGCGAACTCATGTGCTCAAAGTCAGCGCGCCACCATTATTTGCCAGAGCATAGAGTTTTTTTGTTTTTTCTTCTTTACCCGTCACCATTGGGTTAATAAAATTATCAATCTGGTGCTTAAAAAAGCAACCAAATACCATATTAGTCTTCATTTAGGCCTACCTGTAGATGTCCAACTGTCCATGATACAGCGTTGTTAAACTGTAGTAGGACAGCCATTTGAAAAGTTGAGGCTTGTAGGGTATACCTAAATAAAAGATAAAACATTGAATGTACCAATGACCGGACCTTGATTAAAATTTCAAAAAGACAAGAATCTCAAACCGATATTGATCAAAGAAAGATCAAGTTTGTTACCTATTCTTGAAGCAATTTGTGACTATTTCTCCCTTTGAAAGGTGGAATAACCAATTCAACTTTCGACCGCTGTGTTGACTGGAGTAGAACGTGGTGAATCTTGATACACTGCGCTCCAGCTGTCAAAACAAGAGATTAATTTTACAGATGCAAAACGGTGTTGATAACTCGAGACTTTTGATCCTGCACACAAATACTGTTTATCCAAGAGAATGTTTTTAATGTCTCACAGCAAACTTCCTCTCCTAAATATTTAGCATTTAACAGTTCTATCCCAGACACCCACTAGGGGCCTTTACACGCACCTCATGGGGTAACGTAAAGCTCTGTGACTGCTGGAAGGGCCATGACCCTGACGAGAGCACCTGGATGGAGAAGTCGAGGTCCAGAGGTTCATTACTGCTGATGAGATGTTTCCTAAACTGATCATTGAGATCCTTCGAGACCCCAATATCCTGTTAGGAAAAAAAAAGGATTTTTTTTTTTATTAGTGTTTGGAATATTATAATGGGAAGGTATATTTCTAAACTCAGTTACAATAGATACTACACTGTAATCAATATATAAAAGACATCCACTCCTTGAAGAACTTGAAGCAATTCACAGAAACCAACAGAGGTAACCATAACAGCCAGTAAACATGTATCTGATACCTCCCATTCCAAAATTTTCATACCATCCAATCACTCACTAATAACACATGCAAGTAAGACCCGTTTCCTTTTTACCTGGAACATGCGTTGTAGCTTAGAGGTATATTCGAAACCACACGCCTGCTTCAGCTTGGATATCATGGAGGCTTCGGCGTCATCACTGGCAGACATGTGCTGGACCAATCTCTTGGCTAACATCTTACTATAGAACTTCTGGAATACATCCTTATCTTCTATGTACTTAAAGACGATCATCACCTGTGGAGAGAGAGGAAAATAGAATGCACATAAGCTTTACCAGACAACACACAAATTGCCATTTAACTGTGTTCAACTTAGAATGCAGAAACGCCCGACTGAGAGCTAATTCCGCCTCTCTGCCTACCTGATTAAGCGTATCTTCTAACTCTGCCTCCTCAGGGTTCTTGGAGGACTTCTTAAGTAGCAAATCACAGTACTTGGCCAGAAGCTCTGGAGACTTTGAAGAGGAATTCGGGTGCTTGGTGACATTGTTGTTGTTGATGAAGCGACCACAAGCTTTGTCCAAGGCAGCCACAAAGCCTGTGTCGTTGTTGAACGCCGTCAGCACCAGAGAATTGTACTTGCGGTGGACCTCTAGGATTGTCTGGACGTAAACTTTGGGGTCCTGTGGGCCAGAGACAGAATCACACCACTTAGACCTCACAAGAGAAACTTATGAATGAGATCTGACATCTCTTCAAGTCACTGTGCCTTGGGTTATCAAGACAATAACCAGGCAGCAATATTACACATGCATTTATCAGAAAGTATGTATAAAAAATTATACTTAATCTGCCCACAAAACTTAATCTATCCACAAATCTTTTATATGGGAAAAAAAAAAAAAAAAAAATTTTGCAAACTTACGTTGACTGCCGTCTCTCCACAACGGTCAATGGCAGCCAGACCCTGGTTTGTAATATGTTGCTCCAGAAGTGTTCGCAACTCCCGCAAACCATCAGGTATTCTGTGTGAAATGTATCAGTTAGTACAGTCTCAGGTTTACTATAGAAAACGATGTGTATCACTTCTAACATTAATAAATTGAAAGTTCTTTTAAGGTTGAAATTGATAAAACCTAAAGCCTTTAAAGATAACACTGTGCCAGAAGTTTCAATCAGAAAATAACACTACAATACTTTGGTCTTCAACTCAATGGTTTTAAGGCCATGCACTGTAATTTTGAATCATTAACTTTTGTTTACATATAGCCAATCTGTTCTCACCTGTTTACCCCATTCCTTGATTTTGGGGAGAAAAAATATCTATTTCTATTATTACCATTGTCAACATCGTTATTATCATTCTTATCATTATAATTATTATAACATCATCAAAGTAATAACAGTAATGAAAATAAAAACTTCTCTCAAAAATTCAAGGAATGGGATGCAATAATGAAGTAGTCCTGAGTGATTAAGTCCTCGGTGATTAAGCATTTGAGGAGCCATCTATTTGTACATAAAATTAATGTTTACACAAAACCTCATTGGATAATGTATTTATATACTTCCAGCATCAACAGCTTAACCCATTACAGATGGATGAAGCAAATAAATAAAAACTAAGTTCTGAAGTTTAGTGAAAACGAGCCGACTTTGAGCGTGGGAATTCAATACATCAAGCCAAATACCCTGCTCGTAACACTTTGGCGCTTTGCCACTGGGTACGGCAGCACTCCACAGGTCAAGCAGTTTGTTATGATGCTGTAAGGCATGACCCATCAGTATGGGATTAATGGTCTAAAAATTAATAGAGAAAATAGAAGAATGAATTCAAAAAGAATACATCTGAAGCAAATGGGGATGGGGGAAGGGGGAAAGGGAAACATGGGGAAAAAAAGAAAGAAGAAATGGCAGGAAAAAGGAAACAGCAGAGCAAAACTGGACATGACAATTGGTGAGAGCAATGAGAGAGTAAGGAAGAGGTAACTACACACCTTGACACAAGCTGATACATCCTAGCAAGGTCCTCATTCTTGTCATCATTCAGCAAGTGCTGGAACTCATTGTGGAAAATCTCGAGGTGCTTCTCGATGAGCACCTTCTCACACGTCTTCCCTAACTTCTCTAGGGTTGTCTCATGGAGGTACACCTGGACTCTCCGCTGCTCCTCAAGCAGTCTCGTCTCAGCCTGAAAGCAAACAATTTGTTGACCAAGATTGTTCTTCACTTTTAAAATGGATATTTTAAGGTTTTTACTTTGGAAGAATTTTTTCCAACTTTAATATCCAAAATTGGATATTGGTATAAATTATCAACTGCTCACAATTTATTGACACTCTTTTACAGTATCATATATCAAAAATACAGTTTAGTACAGTATATGAAAATATATTTACTCTCTGATGTACAGAAGCCACTCTTACAATCATTTAGTTTGATTAAATATATAACTATTTAATATAATAGAAGTACATGCATCTAATGTATCTGTAATTGATAACACTTCTCATCTCAGAAATTCTATCCTTTGCTGCAACACGAACAAATTTCATTATTTAAATCTTATAACTATAACTAACAACTCAACAGAGGTAAGATATGGTCTTTTACCTTTTTCATATATTCAGTGACTGGGTTGTTTCGTAAGAACTCTGTGCTTTCCCTTGTGTAGAACCGTTCTGTGTCCTCCAGGAAGGTATTTTCAAAGGACTCTCGGTACACAGACAGATTCTGGCCTCTTGCACTTGGTTCATCTTCATTGAGACCTTTAAAATATAAAAATAATGTAGCTTAAGCCTAAAATAGTGGTACCAGAAATCTCTGGATATCACTAATTCTGGTGATTTCTGGCAACCATCTAGCCTTTTGGCCAGGGAGTCCACTATGTAAAGCAAGCTTTAGCGAGTCATGACGTCTATAGCTGTACCCGTCATGATGAGTTGGTTTTACATGAAGGCTATAGGAATGCCCGGCTATAACAGGTTAATGTACCATTCCATCAAAAAAAAAAAAAAAAAAAAAAAAGATTCCCAGTGAGTCTCTCAGAATTATCAGTAACCCAAAATTTTACTTTATATATATATATATATACAGATAGTCCCCTACTTAAGAACATTCTACTTATGAACATTCCATACATACAAACAAATTTTTTAAATACTAAAGTCCAAAAAATTGTTTGAAACTTCAAATTTCCCGGGCGCGAATATAGTTCAAGAGTCTGGTACTGTATAAGGTATGTCGTACTTATTGGGATTTATTTACAGGTATTCTTAATGTAAACAAAACTTTAAAACAATGGAAAAAAAGGTAATGGAGCCCCGACTTTCGACATACAAACAAATCAACTTACAAACAGCCTCTCGGTCCCCATTATGTTCTTAAGTTGGGGTCTTACTCTATATGTTTAACAACATAAATAAATTCCTATCACTACACAGGCAAGAAAAAACTTCTGCTTATCTCATCCCCTATTGTATGTGTTGAAATAGTCATTAAGAAGAACAATACCTGGGCCTTACCTAGTTCAACATAGCAGTTCATGACACCCGACACCAGTCTCGTATTTATTGTTTCTCCATTTCTTTCTCGTTCAATAAGTTTTAAGACGGCATTTGTAACCTAAAAGAACAAACAAATACAGTCATATCAGTATGTACATGAAGTAACAATAAGCATCTGAGCCATAATTCAAAACAATAGCATGAGAAAAATTCTGTTTGTGCCCCAAAGTATCATAACATCACTACAAACCTGTTTATTAAGTGGCTGGAATAAGTGATCTCGCCACGTGACCAGGGCAAGCTGATAGATTTCATAGATACCCTTGTGTCCCTCATCACATTCTCGCTTCACCCAATGACGATTTAGATAAGCACACACACCATTCAGCACCTGGGCAGGGAGAAAACACATAAATCACAGTGTTAGACCAAAAGTTCCTGCTGATTATACAGACATGAGAAGTCTTCAATGGTCACTTTCAACAATCAGCAAAAGATACTAACCTTACTGGAGAACTGATATTCCTCCCACTGCTTTGTGTAAAACCGAAGTACCTCCTCGTCCATCAGATCCACTCCATCCTGTTAAAGGTAATCAAGTCTGTTAGTCAATTGAATATATGTGCTGAATTATTAATTGGAAAGCTGCACAGTTTCTCTAAGGGCAAAAGCATGGTATACACTTCCATTCTATAAAAAGTAACGACCTCTTTTAACATATTCAGCAAAATGCTTTCCAAAGTAGCAACTGAGGTCCTTATCATCACAAGGAACCAACTTATTCTCAACACTTCAAACACAAGAAAGGCAACAGTATAACTTACTTTCATGAGTGTGAGGAGATATGTCTTTAAAAAGTCTTTAAGGCGTTTGTAAAGTTCGAGACCCACGAACTGTGCTCCTCCGCCAGCCGCAGTGCTCTTTTTGACGCGAGGACCGCCTCCACTGCTGCCTGTTTTGGTCGACTGTTGGTGAACCTGTGCATGGGACAAACAGGAATATCATGCATAAAATCTGCTCAAAAACATACCTAAGCACCACACAAAATTCCATGGATAAGCCATAGTGGGGGACAATATTATACAAAGGAAATTTCCTGCCATACAAATATATACAATATTAGAGTAAAAATCCTTGTTAAATTAGTTCCTTACCGATGTGCAGTAGTTATAGACATGTGTGTATAACTGCATGTATCGAGGCCTAGACATCTCTTGGCTATTGTAGACCTGTGAAAGAAAAACAAAGCCATTTTCCCATTAGTAACAAAATAGCCGTAGCAAAAGGTGTAACCTTGATAACTATTTAAACAGTACTTCAATTCAAGGCTTCACAAACTTGTTTCATAACCATCAAAAAAAGAAAAGAAAAGAAAAGAAAAGAAAGTAGTATAACAAGAACTAGGTGGAGAGACCCCATTCATGAGATTTTTCTAAAGACACTCACCTGCTCGATCCCTTGTCTGAGGTCCCCCCATATCTGATCCAGGTCAATCTGTTTTAGCCCGTGTGGGTTGCTGCTGCCTCCACTGCTGTTGCTGCTGCTGCCACTGTTGCTCCCTCCCCCTCCACTACTGCTGCCCCCCAGACCCCCTCGTTGGCCTGACATTGTGCCTGAAAGGAGAGGACAACTTGGATGAGCCACAAACTGTGAATGTTAATACAAATTACCTAAAAACAAAAAAAACAAAGACAACAACAACACTACAATGAGGGATTTGTGTCTGGCAGTTAGTGGTTGGTAATTCATAATTAGTGGTTAGTGGTTGGTTGTTGGTTTCTGGTAGGTAGTGGTCAATAGTTAGCAATTGAGTGTGGGGTGTGGGGTGTGGGGTGTGGGGTGTGGGGTGTGGGGTGTGGGGTGTGGTTGGTGGGTGGTGCATGGTGGTGGTGAGTGGTCGACAAAGATAGAGACTGAACATAGATGATTGAAAATGGTGACTGAAGGTTGCAGCAACTGGAACTGTGACTGTGACAGTGATGATGACAATGACAACAAGGAGGTAGAGGAGGAAAAAAGTAGGAAGAAGGAAAAGGGAATAATTGCCCTTACCATCTCATTTCTATTAAACTTGCATCATGTTTTTAAGGGTCACCGTATGTATACATGTACATAAATACAACATATAAACATACATATACTATGCATAAATCCCCAAACACATGATACTCTCTTGTGCTCCCTCCAATAACTTCCCTGATGTTTAAACAAATAAATCTGATAATATGCCTTGTAATCATAGGTCTGGCCAGGCCTTTGATAAGCTCAACAACTTGTTTCGTAAGTGATAGGATTTATCTTCACCATTCAATTTCCTGATAGATTACAAAACGTTTTTCTTTATTTGTTCAAATTGCTTGACCACACTCATTCACTCTCCTCTCTCTCTCTAACAATCACACTCTCACTCACTCAAATTCACCCATTTGCTCACTCACAATCACACTCACTCACTCACAATCACACTCACTCAATCACAATCACACTCACTCAATCACAATCACACTCACTCAATCACAATCACACTCACTCAATCACAATCACACTCACTCAATCACAATCACACTCACTCAATCACAATCACACTCACTCTCAATTACTCACAATCACACACTCACTCAATTACACTCACTCATTCACCATTCAATTTCCTGATAGATTCCAAAAAAAATTTCTTTATTTGTTTAAATTGCTTGACCACACTCATTCACACTCTCTAACAATCACACTCTCACTCACTCAAATTCACCCATTTGCTCACTCACAATCACATACTCACAATCACTCTCACTCACAATCACACACTCACTCACTCACTCACAATCACACACTCACTCACTCACTCACAATCACACACTCACTCACTCACTCACAATCACACACTCACTCACTCACTCACAATCACACTCACTCACTCACTCACAATCACACTCACTCACTCACTCACAATCACACTCTCACTCACTCACTCACAATCACACCACTCACTCACTCACAATCACACTCATCTCACTCACTCACAATCACACTCTCACTCACTCACAATCACACACTCACTCACTCACAATCACACTCTCACTCACTCACAATCACACTCTCACTCACTCACAATCACACTCTCACTCACTCACAATCACACTCTCACTCACTCACAATCACACTCTCACTCACTCACAATCACACTCTCACTCACTCACAATCACACTCTCACTCACTACAAACAATCACACTCTTACTCACTCACTCACAATCACACACTTACTCACTCACTCACAATCACACTCTTACTCACTCACTCACAATCACACTCTTACTCACTCACTCACAATCACACTCTTACTCACTCACTCACAATCACACTCTTACTCACTCACTCACAATCACACTCTTACTCACTCACTCACAATCACACTCTTACTCACTCACTCACAATCACACTCTTACTCACTCACTCACAATCACACTCTCACTCACTCACAATCACACTCACTCACTCACAATCACTCACTCACTCACTCACAATCACACTCACTCACAATCACACTCACTCACTCACAATCACACTCACTCACTCACAATCACACACTCACTCACAATCACACACTATAACAACACAAAGTCAATCTTAAGCAAGAAATATACACTTGCTGGACAGTAGTTTTAAAATGGTGGCACTCTTGGGGTTGACTTTTAATAACGAGCATAAGCTGAAGACGACCATTTCCCCACATTTTATGCTAAGCAAGCCAGAGTAGTCAAATTAACACCTACCTACCTACCAAAGAAGAAGAAAAAATCAGATGCCTTTTTTTACCCACTACCAGATATTACAAGTTTAAGGGGGGGGGGAGGGGGGGGGAATCAGGGTATCCATAGACCAAATAAGTTAATAACAAGTACACCAAGTACGCAGGAGGAGGCTGACAAGGTGAGAGGACAACAAACTCTGGTCACGCGAACACTGCCGCCCCAAGGTCATTGCTCTGACACTTGAAGCTCCCTCTCCTATCTCCATTCCCCTTCCTGCTGCTCAATCAATATCACGAACACAGCTGTGAGTCATCTTAGTGACCTTTTTATAAGCTTAAGCTGCAAAATGGCTGCCATAATTAGTTCATCAAGGACAGGGCAATCATGCTACTGTCCCCCCCCCCACTCCTCATTTTCCTCCTGTGGCTCAGAAGCCCATGGCCAGAACTAAATCACTGGTTTATTTTGTAAAACAATCATCAATCAATGCTGCATTCCTGCACCCGGCAAAGAATTATTACCTTTTGTTGCTAAATTTTCAGAATCACTACTGAAATCAGAAACATATTGAATATCTACCTACCTATCTATCTGTTTTTTTGTAAATGGAATATATATATCTGGATTAAATATATACATAAACACACAGGCATGCACAGATATATATATTCAATCTATGTCTATCTAATAAGTTTGGCCATTTAAAATAGAAAATGGATTCCACATTCAAGCTTTTATATCTTTCCTAAATATTAATAAGACATTAATCACTTCTTAACATTCATAGTAACATATAATAAACAATGCATTCACTTTATGAAGTTCCAGCCATTCCATGAGATTTAAATCCCGTAAAGGCAAGCTGGAGGGCAATGACCTGCCCCTTTAACAAATCAAATCATTAAACAAGGAATCCAAACATACAACCTTCAATTCATTTCTAAACAAATAGTACACCAGTCTACTTTCAACATAACAATTCACTTATATAACAATGATTATGGCTCTCTTCTCAATCAATTGCAAATCTCAGGGAATAACCAATTCTCACTGGCAACGTCACAACGGTATGCCAGAAACGTTAACACACACACACACACACACACACACACACACACACACACACACACACACACACACACACACACACACACACACACGCACACACACACACACACACACACACACACACACACACACACACACACACACGCACACACACACACACACACACACACACACACACACACACACACACACACACACTCACACACAGAGCCCCCAGCACCTCAGCGCAAACCTACGTTCAAGACCTCTTAACAGTTTAAAAGGCAAGAGACTCCTTTCTACATCCACCAATAATATTCCAACTATGAATTTCCTGTCTAGCCCGAACCACACCGTACCATCATGGAACAGAACATGGTTCATGGAGATTTAGGGGAAAAAAAAAAAAAAAGTGACAATAAATGTGGTTTGTGACTGTGTTAACTCTCAAACAGATATTTAAAGGATAGTGAATATTGATCGTTTTAGCTCTTGTTGTTGCTGCATGTGAGCAAGATTGAAGTAATATTCTGCAATATATAAAATGCAGAAGGTATGACTCTCAATGAACTAAGAATACAGAGAAGAAATACTATGGAGAAGAAATACGGAGGGGATGAAATACAGAAGAGAATTATGGAGGAGAAGACATACAGAAAAGAGGAAGCGGAGGAGGAGGAGGAGGAGGAGGAGGAGGAGGAGGAGGAGGAGGAGGAGGAGGAGGAGGAGGAGGAGGGGAAGGAGGAGGAGGAGGGGAAGGGGGAGGGGGAGGAGGAGGAGGGGAAGGGGGAGGGGGAGGGGGAGGAAGAGGGGAAGGGGGAGGGGGAGGGGGAGGAAGAGGGGGAGGAAGAGGAAGAGGAGGAGGAAGAGGAGGAAGAAGAGGAGGAGGAAGAGGAGGAGGAGAAAGAGAAAGAGGAGAAAGGGAGGAGGAGGAGGAGAAGAGGAAAGGGAGAAGGGGGAGGAGGAGGAGAAGAGGAAAGGGGAGGGGGGGGAGGAAGAGGAAGAAAAGGGGGAGGAAAAGGAGGAGAAACAGGAGGAATAGGAGGAACAGGAGGAGGAGGAATAAAATTAAAAGGAATAGGAAAAGGAATAGGAGGAATAGGAGGGGAGGAATATAATTAGGAGGAAGAGGAATAGGAGGAATAGAATTGGGAGGAGGAGGAATAAGATGAGGAACAGAAGGAATATGAGAAATGAGAGGAGGAACATGAGGAAATGGAGGGGAGTGGAACAGGAGGAGGAAGAGGATGATGTAGAGGAGGAAGAGGTGGAATAGAGGAATAAGACTATAAGGAGTATAAGTAGGAGGAAGGGGAGGAGGAGGAGGAGGAGGAGGAGGAGGAGGAGGAGGAGGAGGAGGAGGAGGATGAAGAGGAGGATGAAGAGGAGGATGAAGAGGAGGATGAAGAGGAGGATGAAGAGGAGGATGAAGAGGAGGATGAAGAGGAGGATGAAGAGGAGGATGAAGAGGAGGATGAAGAGGAGGATGAAGAGGAGGAGAATGAGGAGGAGGAAGAGAAGGAGGAGGAGGAGAATGAGGAGGAGGAAGAGGAAGAGAATGAGGAGGAGGAAGAGAAGGAGGAGGAGGAAGAGAAGGAGGAGGAGGAGGAAGAGAAGGAGGAGAAGGAGGAGGAAGAGAAGGAGGAGGAGGAGGAAGAGAAGGAGGAAGAGAAGGAGGAGGAGGAAGAGAAGGAGGAAGAGGAGGAGGAGGAGGAGGAGGAGGAGGAAGAGAAGGAGGAGGAGGAGGAAGAGAAGGAGGAGAGGAGGAGGAGGAGGAAGAGAAGGAGGAGGAGGAGGAAGAGAAGGAGGAGGAGGA